ATAGATAGATAGATAGATAGATGAAAACATCTACCATCACAAGGTCAGGATAAAATTACTGCACCTTCCTAATTTACTTAATAGGAAATGATCCTGGATGCAAGCCAGGTGACACAGAATGGATCATGGAGCCTGGACTTTTCGGTAGTGAGGAAGTGGAAGAATGGGAGCTGGCGGACAGGAAATAGGAAATCGCAAGGAGACAGAGTTCTGAAGGAGGGGGGGCATATAGGTCTGGTCTAATGACTCTAAACATTGAAACACAGGGAAGGTATAAACAGAAGGGTGGGGGCAATGACAACAAAGTACGCAGGTAGAGGCAAATGGCACAGCTGGAGGTTTAGGATAAATATAAAAGAATGTGATGTGGATAAAAGGCCACAAAAGAAAATAACAAATGTTAAGGATGGTGGTAGAGAATGAGAGCAATAAAAAATAACACAAGAAAGATGCTGAGAGGTTTTCCAGACCAGTGGTTCCCAAACGTTTTCATGCCAGGGCCCTCAAAATAGTAGTAGCTTCTGGCCATGGACCCCCTTTTAAAGCCCACAGACAATGCTAGAAAATATGTAAAGAAATATCAAGTTTCTAAATGTACTGTGCCAGAACACCAGTGTGCAATAGCCCAAGGGAGAGATGAGGACGGAGGACTATATGTAGAGGTGATAACAAGTCGATGAAAGTCAAGGAAAAAGGATATGTCAAGTGCCATGTTGATAATGAAGAGAAGTGCAATACATTTCCCTTCCTTAATTTCCCAGAGGGAACTCCTGAGGGATTAATAAAGTTCTATCTATCTATCTATCTATCTATCTATCTATCCATCTATCCATCTATCCATCTATCCATCTCCATGTGTAATATTGTAATACAGAGAAAAGAGGAGGGCCGACTTGCAACTGACTTTCTACGACATACTGTAGACGTGATGAAGCTCAGCCATGGTTTTGTTATTGTTCTCTGTTTAGAACAACAGGAGCCGTCTGTTTTTCCAGCTCTGTGTGAAAATGCGAAATGTGGGAGCGCATGTTGGTTGTGTTTCTCAAGTAAACATCAAGTCTCTTGTCCACCTCACATCCTCTCTTATTTAATAATTGCTGCCACACATCAGACAGGGGGCGCCGGTGGAACGTTGGTGTTTTTGAGCTGTGGCTCTGGTTCAGCCCACTGTTGACATTATTCGCCATGCATCCGAAAAATTAATCACTTCTCCCACCCTACTCTTTTTTTCATATTTGTCTTGCAGATAGATAGATAGATGGATGTATGGATAGATAGATAGATAGATAGATAGATAGATAGATAGATAGATAGATAGATAGATAGATAGATAGATAGATAGATTCACAAACATAGCTAGCTAATTGGAGACTTTATTTCAAAGAAAAGCTATAAAAATAATAATAAAAACAATATAATAATAACTAGGGATGCACCGATCCACATTTTTTCACTTCAGTCAATCAACATGTAGTTCAGCAGAATATGACTTTTTTTTTTAGTTAGAAAACTACTTCTACAGGTTGGTGATGTATGTAATTACCCACATTGTTGTTACACATTTGAGTATGATACTATATTACATTTTTAAGGGTACTGAATATGTTCGAGTGGTTTTCTGAACACGCTGTAAAACATATAGTTCTCTGTGGCGCGGGTGACTTAAAATTGCGCCACAGCAAACTTTCTTTTCTTTCCGTTGTGAGAAACCATGTCGTAGTTTCTGGCTCCAGCACATTTAAGTTTGGGTTAAAAACTATTCCTGTTTTTAACATAATTAAGGCTATTTTTCTTGAATTTAAAATCAGATGTTAAAAATAAACCCTCTAAAATCTGTGATACAAAACACATTTTTTCACAAAGCAATGGGAAGATGAAAGATTCATGGCACAACTCGATATTAGGTAAAGTTGCTGCAACTACCGTATTTTCCGCACTATAAGTCGCACCTTTTTTCATTCTTCATCTTGGGCTGGGTTTGCGACTCAGATGCCCCATGTCACATGTTTGTTATTTTCATAGACAGCCGCTAGGGGGCACTCTAGCTGGCTCATACTCTGGAGCAACTTATTTATGGTTCTTTTTTCTTCTTCATTATGCATTTTTGGCTGCTGCGACTTGTACTCTCCTGCTAGGACAAATAAACTGTGAAACCTCAGCTATGATGATGGTGACAGGTTTCGAAGACATAAAATACAACCAAATGGCTCAGTCTCTCTACACTCCTGTAATTTATATGTGGTTGGCAGCTGCCCTGGACTCTGACCTTTGGACATTGTTTCCAGTTGAATCAAATGTTGAAAGAAGCGCGTGTGCTTCCACTACAGCACTGAACGTGAAATAAAAACTATTCAATAACTCCGGACATTTGCAGCCTGTTTGCTGTGTTAAACAGAGGTGAGGGCTGCAGAGGGTTTCATCTAACACTGGGACGTTGATGTGTTTTTACAGCCTTGACTGTCAACAGTCTGTGGCATCTAAGGTCAAATAATAAACTTTTGTCAAAAAAAAAAAAAAAAGCTTCGTAGAGTGAGGACTTTCTTAATGTCAGGGGAAACCAGACATAAAATTTCTGTTTAACACTTCAAGGTCAAATGATGAAATTCTAATTAAAGCTCATTCGAACTTTGCAGCCGGGACAAGTTACACCATGAAACCCATGAATAAATAGCACTGTGTAAAGCGGCGCATTCGTCGTGCAGCGTTATGTCTTCTCAAATCTGTTTATTTTCTGTTAGGACTGTCAAACAACAGTGAAACTCAGCGTCCAAAAAAAAATCTAAACTTGACATGTTTTTCTAGCTCTTGATTTAAAATAAAAACACGATACAATGTCTTTAAAAATACAGCTAAGACTAAAGAAATGACAAATGATGCAAAAACAATTTGATAAATATTTTTGACTTATATATTTTGTATTTTGTACGTTTTTTTTTTTTGCTTTTTTTGCTTTCACTTGCTTTGAGTTAATTACTGCTCAAATAAATGAACTTTCGTTGTAAATTTAAACATAAATTATCTGACTAATAACAGGGACAGTAAGTGGAAGTGCGCATGTAAACACAAGCAGCAAGTACATCCTCTCGTGTCAACATGAGTTTTATGAATAGCGCTGGTCTTAAACCGGAGGGTTTTTAAACAGTACGGCTGAGTCACAAAAATTGTCAGCCGATTTATGACTTAAAGGAGGCATTGTGCTGCCCGATAACACAAAATTAGTGAGGAGACAGAAAAAAAGAAGTGACCTTTCACACACTTTCAGGTCTCCTTCTCCAGAGGGGTTGAGAGCGTCTACAAAACAGCAGATGCTGCATCTCCTAATACCTGCTCTGCTTTTTTTCAGGCCAGAGATCACAAGATTAGACAAGAAAGACAAGAAGGTCCCAGACAAAACCCATCACCTAAAATAAAATAAATTAACGTCTTCTGTTGCTTTGAAGTTTTGAGTACTAGTTTTCTGTCTTTATAATTAAAGCCTCGCGCGTATTCTCGTTTTGTAATGTGACTATACTAAAAGCAAGAGAATTTTCCATTTTCCAAGAGGCACATGTTGAACAGGTCTTATTAATGGAGATACAATCAAGGACAAACTGCAAACCAGGAAAAGCACTATTACAACAAGGTCGGTCTCATGACTTAATCACCAACGCGGGACAATTAACAACAGAAGACGAGGCGCCACAGGCTGTGACGTCATTTTGTAGCTTGAAAGCAACATGCACACACTATGTATGAATTCGTGACAATATGAACTGCCAAAGGTTCATTCAGCATCCCCGTTGTAGTAAAAGGCCAGTGGTTGTGACGAATGTAGGAAACGAGAGTTACAGGTACGACGAGATACCTGCAGGTTTTTCAAATGTCTCAGACGTGCAGATGCACCGTAGACATTTGATGTTAACTGATTGGTCATTGTTGACGTAAAGACAGGACATTTTTTTTAACCAGGTTAAAAGATGAAGATGTTAAGGAACTTGTCAGTTGAAAGATACACTATGTAAAATATGTTATCTCAGTTTTAAAATTTAATTGATACATTATCATCTTTATTATTATTATTAGCATGTTTTGGGTATACTTTATGTTTGTGCTGCATTTCTCTACAAAAACTAGTCAGAAACTCCATGTCTTAGAAAGGTTTTATAATCATGGATATCTCTATCATAAAGATATATGATATAGATCTAGGTAACAATTTGAAACAATGTAATGTATATTACCATATACGTATATGCCTTTTAAAACATCAACACAGGGCTCCAAATATTTGATATTGTATTTAAGGGTTGTAAAAAAAAAAATTAAGATAAAGTACGCTTGAAATGGCTTATTTCATTCGAAATTAATAATAATTTCATTGCAATGACAACCAATATCGACCTCGTACCAACATTTTTGCAGCACCATTTTGAACAGTGATTATTGCCATTAAATGTGTCTCCTTTTCCAGTGGAACGGCTAAATAGCATATCATCATTATATGATACTAATGAATTAATTCCAGACAAACTGTTCAACGGGTTTTAATTAGGTTTCATCACAGGCACCGTGTCTCAATCGTTGGATTAAAAACACATTAACATTGTTACAAGGCTTTTCCTCTTGGCTGTGATCTGTTGCAGATCACAGCCAAGTCACATGCTGCTCTGCAGCAGCAACAGGTCCCCTTCTGTGTGCTGCTCCCTCTCTCACACACTCACCCTGAACACGCAAAGATGCATTTTCGACAATCACACACACTTCATTATAACACGTGTATATACATTTTATCATGACTTTTTTTTAAATTTTTATTACCTCTTCTTCTCCTTTTCGGCCGTCATATCTGCTCTTCTCGCGCTACAATTCTCCTTCAAGTGGTTGAGTAAAGCCCAGATTTAGTAGAAGATAAAGTAGAAGTCAGTGTCGGAAAAGTGTCCAGGTGACGACTGGGGGAATAGGGTTAGTCTCCAGCAGCGACGGTTCTCGTTCTCGGATGGTTCTGGTGATGGTGGGGCCGCACAGTCTCAAAACACTGCCGAGGATTGTGCAGCTTCCCACCACAGAGACGAGAAACTTCTCACCGACCGCAGAGCTGAGCGCGGGTCGGACGCCTATTGAGTTGTTAATACGCTGTTCTTCCTTCGCCCGAAACTGCCGCGCGTTCCTCCTCTGCAGAACTTTTCGCTCCCTAGGTTCGGTGAGAAACTCCCAGTCGCTTTTCCTCGGTCTTTGACCTGAGGCTCAGCTGGAACTATGACCGCCGCTTATCGCTGCAATTGGCTGAAGACTCAGGGACGGAGCCCCGCCCCTTCAAGTCCACAGACCAACCAAAGCCGTACATCTGCAACAGGTAAGTAATAATAATAATAATCATGCATTTATTATTACTTATCCCATAATTATATTATTATTATTATTAGTAGTAGTAGTAGCAGTAGTCGTATTGTAATAAGCCACTGATTCTCAATTATTTTCTATTAACCCCCCCAGCCCCCTCATAGATTCAGAACCAGATAATATGTATTTTCTTATCGGTACAAACCACTGTATGAGTTGCTGTAGTGATTCGAGGCTCGTTTTCAAGCATTACACCAGCAGCACACCTCCGTTTAGCGTGCCATATTTCATTTTTAAGCCTCTCATGATCAACGCCCCTTAGCGGTCCCTAGCACCTCACCTCACTTCACAGCCACCCTCCCTAGGTGTAGGATATTAACACAGAAAGATTTTTTTTCTACTTTTAATTACAGCAAATAAATGCCTTTTTCAGTGCCTGCAAACAGCTCGTTACACGTTAGCTCTTTCCTGCTTCGGCGCCCTGACCAAAGTTGGAATGCACAGGGGAGACTCAGTGATCTGCTCCAGGGCCCAAGCTAACATTAGCTCCGGGGCTAACTCCCTTCACTTTGTGCTTGTTCGCAGCAGAGGTAAACAGAAACAGGGGTTCTTTATTATCAGCCACTCCAACCACAATAGAACATAAACAGCGTTTTAACAGGTCCTCTATAACCAACTCACGCTCCAACATGACAGGGCTCAAACTGCTCTCAACTTTCGCTAGCGTTCTGTCTCGCACGTGCACATGGTTCGCACGCAGCCATTCATAGACAGACATACACTACTAGTATAACACACAGTAGCCTACCAGAAAAGTCATTGATTGCTAGCAGTATGACCTTTGTTAGCTCGTAAAAATCCATAAATAGCTGCATCAGTGTTCAAGCCACAGGGTTCAAAGCGAGTGAAAAAAGTAGCGGCTTATAGTCCAGAAATGATGGTCCTCTTCTTAAATATTGCATTAATCTTTGTTTTGGAGAGAAATACTTTGAAAGGCTTAAATGGTAACATTAACTGGGCCTTTGGCCTGTTTGTAGAATGTATTTTTTACAATGTCGTGAAATTTACAAATGTCTTTGTGGGTTTTGAACTTTAAATGGATGACACGTTTGAGGCTGTGCTTACATGAAATCACAAAGTAAGTAATGGATACTACAAATTAATTAATTCATTAATGCACTATGATTAACTCTGAGTATAAGTCGCACCAGCCAAAGCATGCAAAAAAGTGCGACTTGTAGTCCGTAAAATACAATAACTAAAATACTGTTTTTATAATGACGAATAAACGTATACATGGGAAAACATGGGAAACACCCACAGTGTCACACGAAGGCCTTTAAACTGATGTACTGTATAGGCAACACAACGTCACGGCCCGCTGTTGTTGACTGTCTCGCAGCACAGTCAAAGGGTTCAAAGAGTTCAAGGGCAGGTTTCGCCACATTTTTTTTTTCTTAAAGCGCATGAGACAGATAACACCTGACATTTAAATCTGTTTTGTCAACCACCCCTGACATTTTTGATTTAACAGATAAGGTGAAATCCGGAGCCAATGGGAGCACTTCCTCCCTGTGGCACAGATGTGCACGGGTACTTTAAAATCATTAGGATAAAACTTAATTAGGAGAAGCAGAAAGATGTCATTTATAATATTTATTTATTTTGGAAAAAAAAAAAACGAGACATACACCTTCACAGCCTTTTAAAATACAGTACATTTTCAAACAAACAAACAAACAAACAAAAAAACCCAGATACATTAAAGCACACAAAGGCACGGGAAAAATAACAAAAGGAACTAGACCCCTGTTGAATAAATATCAACATATAATTTCACAAAACAAAGTAAAAAACCCTGCACCTCTACGGGTAACATTTAATACTATTATTTTAATCACAACACTCTCTCTTTTTATATCAACGCCCCGGGCACAGAAATATTTTCACATCCTGCCCCTCCGACCCACACCCCGCAAATTGAAATACTACTGAGAACCTGATAACATGTATATTTTTTATATCTGTACAAACTGCTATATGAGTTGCTGCCACCTAGTGACTGGAGACTTGTTATCATTCAAGCATTACAGCAGTGGTACACTTATGTCCCTCACCCTCTCCCTGGCACCTCACCACAACCTCCCCCCCTCCGTCCCACTATTTAAGAAGCACATCAACCACACATTTATCTTTGGCGTGGATTTGATCTCAGAAATACATTGGATAGGAATTTTCTGTGGGGATTTTGCAAATCGGCTTTTAACGTCCGGGCTGAAAGAATGGCGCGTGTTCGTGTGCATGCTGGGTGAGTACATGCTACAAGGTCAAACTCGTCTTCCTCACCACTTGACAAACAAACATGCTACTTCCTTCACGTGCTGAGCGTCTAGTTAGGACAAAGGTCACTGAGCTTGAACTGTGGTTCACACCAATATGATGTCATTTTTTTTTTTTAATTGCCAGTCTATCATGTGTCACATGCTGCAAGATTACTTGATGACGTGGTCTGGATTGCAGTGCACACCTAGACTATCTTCGTTTTCCTGAAGCCAAAACTGCCACAAATTGAGATTAAATATAAATTAAATAATTTTTGATTACGATCAGTATGCAGTATACCTTCAATATTCAATATTGCCACAGGTTGTTCGATCTACTGCACAACCCCCTGGTTGGAAAACAACTGCACTACATATTCCACACCACATTACAATTTTAATGTAATTAAAATATTCATATATCATTTATATTGATTACATTTTTTATTGATATACATTTTTTTTATTTATATTTTTATATATTTTTTTGCTTATATTTAAAGCTAGTTGACTCTTTGAAAAATTGACAACTCCAGTCAAACGAAGATCACGTACAAGAAAGGCGTTGAGATTCAAAACTGATTTGTTGACAATGGATGAACACCTCTTGGTGTTTTTGGTGGGTTTTTTATTTTCATCTCCTTGACAACAGTGCAGTGACGCTAACCAATACAGCTGTCTTAAAAACAACATTGTGCAAACGTACCTGCAGCTACCTAAAAGTACCTGCAGCTCTAAAATGGAATGGGAATAGTATAGTATAGTATAGTGAAAGAAAATTATTTTTTTTAAATATTGTATGCTGTACTAGATGGAAATGATATACTGAAAAATGGCATTTTATGCAGAAATGTTATTATAATTTTTTTTCCCACTAAACATACACATAAATACACACACTCTTTGTGCACATTAATTCCACATAGCTGTGCCTCAGACCTGTTTTGACATAATTAGACCTGATAAAGTCTGGAGATGAGATTGTTGACCAAGGTATTCACATACGTCTCTCCAAAGACAAGAACCACATTGCAGGTAGCTTCTCGAAAATCAAAGTATCACTAGCTAACTCACACTGGAAGCGTTTATGCCAGAATCATTTTGATCATCAAGTCTTAGTTTGAGTGCGAAAGTCAAGTTGATTTTCGAATTAGTCGAAGTTCTGAAAACAGACTGAGTCTTGTTTGAGACTGTCTCTTAACTATTTTTCTCAGTTTAAAACCATGTTTCAGTGCAGGGAAAAGTACTCTCCATTTCAGTGTATGGCATTTGTGCAATCCGCTTAAAACATTCCAACGTTGAAGGTAAAGCCACTCTCTGCACCTTTGCATAGAGAACCACAACATGTTTAAATGCTTACAACAGGTATAAAATAAAAAAATTAAAAAAAACACTACATTTAGTATTTATACCCAGGGTCACATTAAACATACGTTTACTGCGCAGGGAGTCCAGTGCTTGTAGCTTGTTTTCATTGCTACTCTTCGACTGTTCAATTTTTTCTCTTAACCTCATTTCAGAGGGAAATTGTTTTTTTTAACTCATAGAAGTCTGCAAATGATTTGCAGGTACTAAAAATAAAATGCTGTTGACTCAGTACCTGAAGACATACAAGGATGAGACAGGAAATCAGGAAAAACAGTATACCGTGTTTTCTGGACTATAAGTCACTCCGGAGTATAAGTCGCCCCAGTCAGAAAAAAATTGTGGTAAAGGAGTAGCAGATACTGGTACATAAGCCTAGAGTGCCCTCTAGTGGCTGTCAGTGTAAAAATAACAAACATGTACATTTTCAGTGGTGCAGGAGTAGCTGATGCTGGTACACAAGCCTAGAGTGCCCTCTAGCGGCTGTCGGTGTGAAAATAACAAACATGCGAAATTATATATTTTAATATGTCACAAACCCAGCCAAAGGGTGAAAAGAGTGCGACTTATAGTCCGGAAAATACGGTACATGACATGAAAAGAAAACACAAAAAGAATATTGCTCTTTTTACATTTACATGTTTTGAAGGCAATTACAGCTTTTGCATTACGGATAATGCTGATAGGTTCTTGAGCAAAAGTGAAAACATTCAAATGTCAATCAGTGCAATTACACAAAACACATTCTGTCATCCTCTGTGCTGAAACATCAACATTGAAATTACAATTGGATTGTCAGAGTCCTCTGACATGTTCCAACTGCTCCCTGCTCACGTACTGTATGTAATCACTGTGTCACTTTCTCTTACAGTTTCAACCAAATCTGCTGCGTAAACTGCTACATTTCAGAAACCAAAGCCCATGGGAAAAAAAAAAAAAGATATTTTAGTCACTAGATGTTCTTTTTGAAACTTTGGTGAAGGGGAGTCAAAGTTTTGCACATGTAAAATTAAACAACATGCCATACATCAGATACTAAAACATATTTATAATATTATACTTGAGTTAGTAACTGACCTGTTAGTGTGGATTCATGGGAATCTGATTGGTGGGATTGGACATAAGGACTGCTTATATTGTTATTAGATATTGTTCTAATTTATAAGTATGTGTAATTTAAAGTGTAGATCTTAAAAGAGCGTTTTTTTCTGCCTGAATGTTTAACACTGTCTTACTGTGAAACAGAAGTCTAAACTAGTTCTTGTAACCTTCCAGAAATTATTTATCGATGGCATAGCATTTTTTCTATTGAAACGGTTGACAAAAAAGTGTTGTCAATGTTACTCCCTAAAATGTCCCAAGTTAAAGCCTTGTAACATCAGTCACAATAACTTCACTTTCAGTTGTTACAGTAAGTAGCTTCAGCAGTGTTGTGCGTTCAAGGGCACTATTTATAAGTCCAGTGTTTCCCAGCCTTTTGTGGCTGGTGACCCCATTTTGATATCACAAATTTTCTGATGACCGTTTTCAGTCACATGATTGCAGCTGTCAATCAAGATGTGCCAGCTCAGATAATATTTTATTTGAACTCAAGTTATATGTATATATTTAAAAATAATAATATTTTTTTTATTTTTATTAGTAATTTTCTAATCAGACATTTCAGTTGACCCCATTTGAATTACAGGCGGTTGGGTACCCCAAGATTGAAAAAAGCCTTTATAAGGCTATTTGTAACAAAGAAAATTAAGGCGAGGTCAGAAAAAATAAGGGAAATTGAAACTTAATTTTTGCATTTATTAGTTTGAAAAAAAAAATCTTATGCCTCCTTTTTATAATAAAATCTAATACAATTTCTGGATGAATTATGTTCATTATTAAATTTTCATTAACATGCATTTTTAGGGTAGAAAACATAATTTAAACAGTCCACTATGTTACATATGTAAGTCTTACATTTAAATGTTTGCATGCATGCACTCATGAACGCACAGTAAAACACCTTGCACATTTAACGTTATAGCTTTGTATGTAAGTCTGAAGGACCATTTAAAGTAAATGACCACATTTTATTGTTGTTGTTGTTTTTTTTACATATTTTTTAGATGTGTGTATTGTGCGTGTAAGTGTGTGTGACTCTAGGCCACGCTTTCTTCACCAAAGTAGGAGAATCCTTTAAATTCCTCTTGGTTGATTTGCTTGATGATGCTGTCCTCCACCGGTGTCAGTACAGGTTCTTCACGTGTAAAATCCTGGTCAAAGTTATTTACGTCTCTTTTGGTTTTCTACAACAAAAAAAGAAGGAAAAATTCTGTTAAGTATTTATTAGTATAAATAAATACATGTCAGTTTCATCAACTGTCTATTGTTGCTGATGGGTTCAATTCCTTTAAATGGTTAAAATGTGTGGTTTTTTTTTTTAATGTTTCTTGTATACAATCACAAAATCTCTTTCATTCAGGGACAGAGACACTCACAATGCGGGGTTTAAATGGCGGTCTGATTTTCCTTTGTTCCAAAAGTGTCCATTCAATCTCTTTGAAGAAAGAGTGGCTCTTAATGGCATCCTCCAAACCTTGTATCACCACACAGCCGAGCCGCTTGTTTGGGCTTTTGGTCATGAACTGAGTAGTGTTGAAAAAAGAGACAAAAAAACTTTTTTTTTTTTTGTGCACTTAAAAAATACAAATGCTACAAATTATCATCTCTGTTGAAACAACAAAACGTAGAACAGTTATAAGCTACTTGACAAACAAGATATAAAGAGCAGAGTTAGACTTGTAGCTTGTTGCTTGCAAATTAGCTTGCAGCTAACATGTCAACCAGAAACAACAACCTTAAACCGGACATTTTATGCAAAAGTGACATTGTCACAAGTCTTGGTACACATATGTTTGTCTCTGGATGCTTAGCCCTTAAGTTCAAGTGAGGATAAACTAAGTAGATGTTTTATAATCTGGCAAAATCTGCATGGCTTTTTCCACCCCTACCTATGTGAGGATCCACCATTTTGTTTTAACCAAAGCATGTTAGACGTCTTTTAGACATCAAGGACTTAATTTTAACTTTATAAAAGTAGAATATTTGTCCTTCGTTGGTAAAACAAGTACCTTTAGATAAAAGTATTCAGTTGTGCTGAAAACTATCATGCAGTGTGATGGACGATACCAGAATCTTTGCTTTTATAAGATACTAATATAAAATACTGATACCGATATTGTTTTCATAACATATTAGTCCTAACATATTTTTTTTAATTTAATTGTTTTTTACATTTAGTAAAACATAAGGTTCCTTATTTTATTAAGTAGTATCTTGTTACACGTGGGCAAGACAGGAAGCATATTCTTCAAACAGCATGGGAATAAAACACCGAACACAGGCAGGTTCTTCAACAAACATCATGGACTTGCTCCAAAAACTTATGGAATTCTCAAATGCCTGCTCAAAACAGATGCAGAACAATGATCCCATGAAGACAGAGTGAGGGAGAGAAGCATATATACCAAGGGCACCAGGTGAGACGAGTTAGACTAATGAACAGAGCCACAGGTGAGTGTGATGACACTAACTCCACCCAGCAGACATCGATACTCCTATCACTACCATCATGTCTCTCCACACTGCTCTTTTGCTTCCTTATACTGTATACTCTTTCTTTGCACTTCGGAGCATTTCTTTATATTTAATCACATTAAATAAGGTAATAATTAAATATAACCTGATTTACAGTGTTTTGTAGAAGCTCCTATTTATACCTATAAATAAATTGTATTTCTAGTACAGTACCAAAGCAATGACTAAGTAAAATGTGTATTTAAAAAAAAGTTGGTTCCATAGTGCCCCAGTCCCATTAACAGCCAAACTGCACCACTTACAAAACACATTAAACAAACAGTTGAAACCAAGTAAGGAAACATCATTTTAAGACACCTATGTGCACTGCTGTGTCTTAACAGGTATACAAACTGACAGCTGGTGCTGGTTAAAAAAGTTAATATGATGCTTAAAATATGCATCTGACAAAAATGTAAACATTTAATGTCTAATTTAATCTAATGAAAATAGCTATTTAAATGAAAAAAAAAACCCTGTGTACTGTGACTTTGAACAAATGAAGCAATACAGGACAAAAAAAAAACCAGAACAAAGCGTCCACCCTTAAGCCTGAGCTGTGAGACTTTATCACATGTTTTAATGCCCTTCATCTGGATGAAAGGGCCAATCAACAGGCCAAGAGGGCTGGTCATTTGACTGGTCAGAGTCCAGGACACTGTCCAACATAAACACTCACACACACTTTCCCACAAGGCTTTGCAGTCAAACCGTACCAACAGCCAAGGTAAACGCAAAGCCTGAGATGGAAAAACTGAACAGACAAATAAACAACTGAATAACATTTGTATTCATTTGTACAAAGTTACATGATAACACACACAGGGAAAAGAAGCCTTAGAAACAGACAGAGGAAATTATCTAATGTTTTCCCAGCAGAGGGATCAGCATGTGACTCTCAGAAAAAAAAAAACCCCAACATTCTCACATACTCAGAGCTACTGTAGAGCATCCTGTCGTCAACACATCCACAGCTATTGCTTCATATCTTTACTCATAACATTGTTATTGTTTCTTTTCATGTTGAACAAAGGCAAGGAAATACAAATTAGTGCTTATTTGTCCCGCTGTGACACGAATAGGTCCTCTTAAGGATCCACTGGGTTTTATGTTGTTGAAGTTTTAGGTACAGTTTGAAAGACAAATCAATTGGAAAAGTGAAGTGAAAGTGAACTTCTTGTTACTGCACACAACGAAATGTAACCTCTGCTCACCAAAGTGAGCAGGAGGCAGCTCAAGCAGAGCAGTTTGTGGGCACAGTGCCATGCTCAGTGCACCCTGGTGGCAACTTTGCAGCTTGTGGATTCAAACCTGAGACCTTTCAGACCCAAGTCTGCTTCCTTAACCACCACCAAACCACCCCTGACATGTCAAGTCAAGTCATCGCAAGAACTAAACACCAAATCTGATGTAATAACCATTACAATATGACAAATGCCAGTATAATACGAGGTATCTGACTTCTGCAATTCTACTTTGAAAATTAAATTAAAGGGCAAATCAGTTTTGTTTATGGACTGTTCTAACACATGATGCATGTTCCTTACAAACCATAAAGAATGATTCAGATGTTCTCCCACGTTCTTTACATTCTTTACTTTTAGGCACCGTATTTTCCGGATTATAAGTCGCACTTTTTTTGCATTCTTTGGCTGGGTTTGTGACTTACACTCAGGTGCGACTTATATATTAAAATATATACTTTTCACATGTTTACCAGTATCTGCTACTACTGATTTTCACACTGACAGCTGCTAGAGGGCACTAGTATACTGTAGGTTTTTTCTTCTTCATTATGCATTTTTTGGCTGGTATGTCTTATGCTCTGGAGCGACTTATACTCCAGAAAATACCATATACAAAATTGTGGAATTATTTAAAAGACTCTGGACTTTTTTTGTCCTCTATTTGGGTTGTTGCAATAACAAAACCCACAGGCATATTTGCCAACTCCCATGTTTGCAAGAGTTTAACTTGAAAATTGTCCTTGTTAGGACACGTTTGAATTTGAAGTATTCCTGATGAATTTTGACACACTATGGAAAATAGAGCAATTTATGTCAAATAGAACTTTCCATCCAATAACAGCCCTTCTAAAAGAATGAATTATTCATTATATTGTGACAGACAACAACAGTCACTGACCCCTCGAAGAATGGACACGGCCTCCTTGCTTAGCCAAACAGGGTAGAGGACGTCATCATGAAGGATGGACTCAAACAGGTCGTCTTCATTGTCAGCTTCAAAAGGTGGCTGTCCTGCCATCATCTCATACATTAGCACTCCCAAAGCCCACCAGTCTACTGATGGGCCATATTCCAGCTCTTGAAGAATCTAAACACACACAAAGAAGTATTAGGTAAAAAAAAAATAGTTGTCTTAAAATCTCATCTTACCTTTGTAAACGTATTTACAATCCACACTTACAGAGCGCTGTGCAATGAAAAAGTCTACCACTGACAAACTGACTGACACAATTGTCAAATTCTGATGGACTGTACAAGCCACTGTGCTAATGACTCAATTATATATATATATACAGTATATACACATACATACATATACTGTATATATATATACACACATATATATACATATATACATATATATATATATATATATATATATACATATATATATGTTAGGATTTGAGTTATAGTTTTGGAGAAGAAATAAAAACTGGTATAAAACACATAGATCTACTTGCTGTTAGTATTTATTTCTGTTTCAGCAAATAAACGGATAAATAAAAGGATTTTTCACTTTTAGAATGACCTTGAATAATCCTGAATGATTAAAGTTAATCTGATTTAAAATATAAATATCAATAAATCCATGTTTTTTCCTCTTTAAAGTATATTAAAAATAAGCGGGCCAAATTTAACTCCATAGCGTGCTCGTTTTGGCCCATGGGCCTTATGTTTGACACCCCTGAATTATGAGAATCCCCGATCCAGAGAAAAATTAAGCCACCTACGTTTGTACACATGCTCTAAATAAAAATTGAAAAGACAGCAAAGCCTTACAGCAGGGGTCACCAACCTTTTTGAAACTGAGAGCTACTTCAAGAGCACTTAGTAATATGAAGAGCTATTTGTTGTCTTAATACAGACTTCCAGAACAATGAAATAGTAATTAGTTCTGGGACATACAATAGCAGACACTCCTATACCATCGTCATTGCAACCATTTGAATATAATTGCAAGTGTAATGGATTCAAAGCACAGCACAATTTCTGACCCTCCTTTTTACTAGTTTTATTTTTAGAACATACCCCTTCGGCACCTTAGGTAGTCCATGGGGGCTACCAGGTGGCCCCGAGCACCACGTTGGTGATCCCTGCCTTACAGTATACAGTGGGGCCTCGAGATACGAGTTAAATCCATTCCACAACAGCACTACGAGTGTCGATCCACTCGTATCTAGATTGCATTTTCCCCAATTTATTCGTTCCGACCCCCAGAAATATACTATAAATTAATTAAATTAAAATTCCCCCTATCAAAACATCAAAAACATAAATATAAACAAATATATTGATCATATGAAATAATAATAATAATTAATAAAACATTTTATATTATTGTTATAAAAAGGGGTAAAATAACCCAGCGAGGGACAGTGAGTGAGACAGCACAACAGTGTCGGGTCCACTAAGCGTAGGAGAAGGACTGGAAGTGAGGACTCGATTTAGATGATAGAAAGAGAAAGAGACAGAGAGACCCACACAGAGAGAGAGAGAGAGAGAAAGGGAAGGAGAGAAATACAGCAACGGGTAAAAAAACCAAATGAGGGACAATGAGCAAGACAGCACTACAGTGTCGAGTGGAGAAATGGAGCTCGGTTCAGC